CGAAGCCGGCGTGGTCTGTCAGTTTGGCAGGGGACCCCTCGGGTTTGAAGAAGGGCATGGCAAACGGGGGGTTGCTGGCCACGGGCTGGTACGGGGCGTAGGGCAGCGGCTGGACCGAGCCCTTGAGATACTTCTGGTTGTCCAGAAGGTACGAGTTTTGAGGGTTGGGCCCGCTGGACAGTTTGTACACCGAGGGCTGGACAAAGTTGGCCGTGGCCCACTCGATGCGGTAGATCCGGGGGTCGAAGAAACAGCCGCAGGGAGCCATGTGGAAACCTGCAACGAGAGGCGAAATGTCATGAGCAGCTCCGGAGGGGCTCCGTCCAAGGAGGGCGCAGCGGCAGAACCGGTCCGGGCCTAAGCCCAACCAGGGATGTGCAGTGCCTTTGGTTGGGAATCGTCCAAAATGGCGTTCCTTATGGCAGAGATGCCCTGAAGCCTGGAGAAGGCCTTGCCCGGCCAAAGCATGCCACAGATGCCCACGTGGGCTGTACATGTTGCACTGGATTGGCAAGGAAGAGGGGCAGATGCATGATGCAGAGGTAGACAGACATCTAGAGAGACGATAGATGATAGGGAGGGAGGGAGGGAAGGAGAGTAGACACAGAGAAGGAAAGATGGATGGATGGATGGATGGATGGATGGATGGATGGATGGATGGATGGATGGAGAGACAGACAGACAGACAGACAGAGAGATGATAGATAGATAGATAGATAGATAGATAGATAGATAGATAGATAGATAGATAGATAGACAGAGACAGACAGACAGACAGACACACAGAGAGAGAGACAGAGAGAAGATAGATGATAGAGATAAATGATAGATTAGATAGACAGACAGACAGACAGAGATAGATAGATAGATGATAGATAGATAGATAGATAGATAGATAGATAGATAGATAGATAGATAGATAGATAGATAGATAGATACAGAGAGAGAGACAGAGAGAAGATAGATGATAGAGATAAATGATAGATTAGATGGACAGAGATAGATAGATAGATAGATAGACAGATAGATAGATAGATAGATAGATACAGAGAGAGAGACAGAGAGAGAAGATAGATGATAGAGATAAATGATAGATTAGATAGACAGAGACAGACACAGATAGAGATAGATAGATAGACAGAGATAGATGATAGATAGATAGAGACAGAGAGAGAGACAGAGAGAGAAGATAGATGATAGAGATAAATGATAGACTAGATGGACAGACAGATAGATAGATAGATAGATAGATAGATAGATAGATAGATAGATAGATAGATAGATAGATAGATAGATAGATAGAGACAGAGAGAGAAGATAGATGATAGAGATAAATGATAGATTAGATGGACAGAGGGACAGAGATAGATATAGATAGATAGATAGACAGAGATAGATAGATGATCGATAGATAGATAGATAGAGACAGAGAGAAGATAGATGATAGAGATAAATGATAGATTAGATGGACAGAGACAGACAGACAGAGATAGATAGATAGATAGATAGATAGATAGATAGATAGATAGATAGATAGATAGATAGATAGATAGATGATAGACAGATAGATAGACAGATAGAGACAGAGAGAGAGATACAGACAGAGAAGATAGATGATAGAAATAAATGATAGATTAGATAGACAGAGACAGACAGACAGAGAGAGACACAGACAGAGAGAGAGAGAGACAGAGAGAGAGAAGATACATGATAGAGATAAATGATAGATTAGACAGAGACAGACAGAGATAGATAGATGATAGATAGATAGATAGACAGACAGACAGACAGACAGACAGACAGAGAAGATAGATAATAGATTAGATAGACAGAGACAGACAGATATAGGTAGGTAGGTAGGTAGGTAGGTAGGTAGGTAGGTAGGTAGATAGATAGATAGATAGATAGATAGATAGATAGATAGATAGATAGATAGATAGATAGATGATAGAAGATAGAAGATAGATTAGAGAGAGAGAGAGATGGAAAGATGATGGATGGATGGATGGATGGATGGATGGATGGATAGATAGATGAGAGAGAAAGGGGGGGGGAGTTAATTGCAACATGAATCATTCATCTTGTGCATTAGAGGAACATTGATGGAAACCACAGTGTCCAATCCTGATGTTTTCCCCTGGACGGTGGGGGGGAGGCTAGCTCTGCCTCCAGAATGGGGTGATTCCCACCTTCCCCCACCCATCCTCAGGATCCCTAGAAGATGCCTGTCCAACTTCCACAATTTTCCTGCCAAGAACCTTTTTTAAAAATGGGTCCAATTTCCTTTTCATTCCGTCCGGTTCCACATCTGAATTTTACAATAATAACTATTGTTCTCCCCCCCCCCCCGCTTTTTTTTTTTTTTTTAGTTTTTCGCACCCATTGATCACATCTGCTTTTATTCGCTGTTCACACCCGCCTCCAAAAACAGTTAGGCTGAGGGTTATAGTTGACAGCAAACTCTGTGAATTGATGTGCCCACCCCATAATCGTAATTTTTATGTACCCGCTCCACAATGACCATAAAACATTGCACCATTGCACCAATGGATTGCATTTTGGAGATGAGACGTTAACCGCAATGGCGGGCAAAAAAGGGACAAGCCATGTGTTACACAAACGCCACTCTGCCACAATGGCTATTTTCTACGCACCACAAAAGATTTACCTGCTGGGGGCGCTGCGCAAAGATCTTGACTGGGTGGGTGGTACAAACTGGGCGTCCCTGTAACGACAACACAAGACGATTCAGCCACATTCCAGGGTTCTTCGATTAAGCCACGATTGGTGGCTTCTCCTCATTTACCGCTTCTGTTGTGGCCCGTACGTGGCCTGTGCGGCTGGTGGCTGATTCGGACAGTGAGGAGGCTGGTGTGGTGCTGCGCCAGCAGCCTGTGCAGCTGGCACTCGAGTCGGACAGTGAGGAGGCTGGAGAAGATGTGGTGCCAGAGGCGGGGATTCAGCCAGGGCCTTCAGAACCTCCAGAAGCTCCCATAAGTGAAGAGGACGAAGAGGAGGAGCCTCTTCTCAATTCACAGGTGCACAGAGCTGCCAAAAGACAGGAGTGGCTCCTCAGGAGGAGGTCTCCTCAAGAGTAGGGCTTGGGGTTAATTGGCCACTCCCTTAGCCTATTTAAGGAGGAACGCCGACTGAAGCAATTTGTAGGGAACAACTTTAGTTCACTCTCCTTCGCGTCTGGATTCTCTGCAAATTGCTTCTGGGCTTTCTGCCAACCATAGTAAGATTACGATTATTTTATTTATTTAATTTATTTATTAAATTTATATCCCGCCCTTCTCCCCGAAGGGACTCAGGGCGGTGAACAGCCGAGAATTAAAATAACATACAATATAAAAGTTAAAAGAATTAAAAATAAATTAAATTAAACGGCCGCCCCAATTTAAAACCCCAAGCTATACAATTAAAAAATTAACCCCTAAAACCTATTCAGGCCAGGCCGGCTTGCTGAAATAAAAACGTCTTCAGGGCCTTACGGAAAGTGCGGAGATCCGGAATCAGCCGTATTCCGGGAGGTAGCTCGTTCCAGAGGGGGGTGCCCCCACAGAGAAGGTCCTCCCCCTGGGGGCCGCCAGCCGACATTGCTTGACCGACGGCACCCGGAGGAGGCCCTCTCTGTGAGAGCGTATTGGCCGGTGGGAGGTTATCGGTAGCAGCAGGGGGTCTCGTAAATACCCTGGCCCTAAGCCATGGAGCGCTTTAAAGGTGAGAACCAACACCTTGAAGCACACCCGGAAGACCACCGGGAGCCAGTGCAGCTCGCAGAATTCAAGAATTCTTTGGATTCTTGTAGGCTGTTAAGAAAGTTAATGAACAGCCTTTGTTTGGGGAAAAAAAAACTTATCTAATTTAGTAAACTAAGGTTTGTACAGACTTCGTGCGTGCTGTGTTCTTTGGGGTCCGTAGCTGGGGCAGAACAGCTTCTGGCTGAGTTTCGAAACTCTGGATTCCCATTTTAAGCAGTGTAGGTTTTGGATGTAAGTGTGGCTGCAAGCTTTTAGGGGCCGCGAATCCTGGTTTAGCTTGACCATGCCTTCTGAAGTTCATTTTTAACCTGTTGGCCTCCTATATGTGCTGGATAACAGTTTAATTTAAGTTTGGGTTGTAAGTGAAGGTTGCAATTGCTATTCCAAACTTTCCTCAGTGAGACAATCGGAAAAAAAACATGGAACAGAAGGCTGCATCAACTACAGGTTTCTCACTGCTGCAGAAGTTTGAAGAAGTTTTGCGTCTCCTTCCAAGACTGAATTTTTGGGAGGGGGAAAGGGGGTGGTAGGAAACCAGCTACATCCTGGGCGAAGGGGCATCTTAAACCCACCCCCCAGTCCCACCAGGGAATTTCAAGAGGGGTCAATGTTGAGAGCAAGGGGTCCGGATTGATTCTTTCTTGGCAGAAATGGTGCAAATCTACCACCCCTGGCCCAGCCGAGAATTTCACCTGTCAGGGCATCCCCTCGGGTGGGATGGGGGGGTCCAAGCAATGAAAGAGGGGGATTGCACCCCTGCCCCTTCAAGGGGGGCAGGAAAGCAAAGATGCCCCATTAAAAATGAACCCAGGAGGAAAATTAACCCATAAAACAGATTAATTCCTTTCCTCGGGCAGCAGCTGAGGGCTCCCTGGAGATGTCAGCCAGGTCCGGCTGGGTCCAGGAAGTTGCAATGGGGCACTGTGCCCTCCTAGAAGAGGGTCCAAGCCAGGGAAGGCATAGATGAGCCCTCCCGAGGGCTGCCACTCCGGCTATGGGTCAAGCAAGGGATGCCTACCTACAGAGGCAAGGTTTTCGGGCAGGACAAACGCCGGAAACCCTCGGGGGTGCTGCTGCCCGTCCGGTCGCTCTAAGGGTCGAGAGGCGTAGGTCTCGTGCTGGGGGTAGAAGACTTTCGGCTGCTGCATGCTCCTTCTGGGGGCTGAAGGACCGTCTTCCCATCTGGACCCCCGTGGAGGGAGGGGCGTGGCTTCCTGGAGTCCGTTGCCATGGGCACCCTTCTTCTGTTTGCATGGTTACTCAGGAACGGGTTCCAGGTGGGTCCTTTAAGGTTCTGCATCCCTTGACCCCTGTGGGACAGATGGATGGATGGATGGACGGGCAGCAGGGCGGGGGGTGGGGAGAGAGGAAGGGGCTGGGGGCGGAAGGGTGGGCAAAAGAAGTAATTGAAAGAACCAAGATGGGGCAAACGGTCTCTGGGGTGGGCAGACGGTCGAGGGCACCCATTGTCCTCCTTTGGATGTTCCAAGAGTCACATCTATGGAAGGAAAGAAATATGTGGGCACCAAGAGGGCTCTCCCCCAAATCGGAGGTGTGTCCTTCCCCCATCCCTGAAACCTGCAGGGGCTGTCAAAAAAGGCAAGATGGCCGCCCTGACAGTCTAATTCAAGCTCTGCCTTTTGTGTGGCAGTTAGGATCTGTCCATGGCTGGCCCCTCCTGGGTCTCCCTGGTCTCTCCTTTCCCACCCACCCACCCACCCCACCCCTTCAAAACAATGTCTCCAAGTCCATTTGGGTCCTGGCTATCACAGGGAGCGGGCAGAGTATCCGTGGGGCTCCGGTTTGTTTGGGTCTCCTTTTGAATGTTTTGCCCTTTCAATCGGTGGCATCTTTGTCCTGGGTCCTGGGAGCTCTCTGGGCTTTGGGATTTTCCAACAGATGTTTCATTACCCAAGTAGGCAACATCATCAGTGCTAGTAGGAGGTGTGGGGTTTGCTCTCTGTTTATATATAAGTGGCTTGTCCTGCCAGTGTTGGCGGAGGAGCAGTCTTTCTCTTGGTAGTTCTTTGATTAAGGTATTGCTTGATTGTTTGTCTGGTGTTAATCCCTGCTTATCCGAGTTTCTTTTTCTGTGGAATTTTTGGTGCTCTCTAAGCTTGGTGGTTTTGTTGCAGATATTTCATTGCCCAACTAGTTAATATCACCAGGGCTGTAGCTAAGGATGTTACTAAGGATCTCACAGCTCAACTCTGAGCTACAAATATTTTCCTCTTATCAGTTGTATCCCTAAAATGCTTTCCTGTGTGTGTGTTCCTAGTTGTAAGCCATCCAAAGTTGTTTGCGAGTTGGGTGGCCTATGAATTAAATCATAAACTCTGTTGTGTGAAGCTATAGATAGTCCTCGATTTACAACCCTTTGTTTAGTGACCGTTCAAAGTTATAACGGCACTGCAAAAAAGTGATTTATGACCGTTTTTCACACTTATGACCGGTGTGGCATCCCACAATGACATGATCAAAATACAAACACTTGGCAATTGACTGTCATATTTTTGACGGTCGCAGTGTCCCAGGGTCACGTGCTCCGCTTTTGCGACCTTCTGACAAGCAAAGTCCATGGGGAAGCCAGATTCGCTTAACAACCGGGTTACTAAGTTAACGGTGCGCTTTTGCTGTTGCAGCCATTATTGCTTCCCAGCTTTGCCAACGAACTACGGGAGAGGGAATGCAGGCTTCTGACATCCAGAAGACAGCTGTGAGAACCAAGGTCGCTTTGGCAGGTGTTTGCCAGAGCCAAAGACTTTTTCTCATAACAATACAATGAGACTCAATTGGACAATGTGACCTGATCTAATAGGGGGAGGGAGAATCTTACGCAGGAATTAGCCAGCTCTGGTTTTGCCCACATCTGTGCCGAAAATGATGTACCGTATTCAGTAAAGTTTTGCATTAAGAGATTGGATCACATCCTAACCAGTGGTGGGCTTCAAATTTTTTTTTTACTACCGGTTCTGTGGGTGTGGCTTGGTGGGCGTGGCAGGGGAAGGATACTGTAAAATCTCCATTCCCACCCCACTCCAGGGGAGGTTACTGCAAAATCCCCATTTCCTCCCGTCGATCAGCTGGGACTCGGGAGGCAGAGAATAGATGGGGGGTGAGGCCAGTCAGAATTTTTACTACCGGTTCTCCGAACTACCCAAAATTTCTGCTACCGGTTCTCCAGAACTGGTCAGAACCTGCTGAAAAACCCACCTCTGATCCTAACATCATTGCATCCAGACAATTACAAGGACCTCAGGGGTTCAAAACTTTGAGGCCTGTTGTGGAGCGCCTGGGTAGCAGAAGTATTCTCTCCTCCCTCCGCCCCAGGGCAGCACCGAATCTTCTGGCTCTTGTGGAAGAGGAAGGAAGGGCCTTCCTCTGCGGCTGCTTTGACCTCCTTCCCTCTACTGGATCCCCAATGAAACCTGAAGCAGCTTCAGAAATGGCTACCCCTCCCCAGATCTCCACCCCTTCCTTGGCTTGGTAATGGTCCAGGGGCTGGGGCTCCAACCTGGGCAACTTTAAGACTGATCCCCCAGCCAATTCTGGGAATTCTGGGAGTTCAAGTCCATAAATACTGGCTGAGGAATTCCCTCCCTCCCTCTTTCCTCTCTCACTTTTTCCTTCCTTCCTTCCTTCCTTCCTTCCTTCCTTCCTTCCTTCCTTCCTCCATCCCTCTTTCCTCTCTCATTTTTTCCTTTCCGTTCCTCCTTCCTCCCTCTTTCCTCTCACTTTTTTCTTCCTTCCTTCCTTCCTCCCTCCCTCTCTCCTCCCTCTCTCCCTCGCTCTTTCCTCTCTCACTTCTTCCTTCCTTCCTTCCTTCCTTCCTTCCTTCCTTCCTTCCTCCTTCCTTCCTTCCTCCATCCCTCCGTCCCTCTTTCCTCTCTTTTTTTCCTTTACATTCTTCCTCCCTCCCTCTTTCCTCTCACTTTTTCCTTCCTTCCTCCCTCCCTCCCTCCTCTGTCCCTCCGTCCCTCCGTCCCTCTTTCCTCTCTCATTTTTTCCTTTCCATTCTTCCTTCCTCCCTCTTTCCTCACTTTTTCCTTCCTCCCTTCCTCTCTCCCTCCTCCCTCCCTCGCTCTTTCCTCTCTCACTTTTTCCTTCCTTCCTTCCTTCCTTCCTTCCTTCCTTCCTCCTTCCTTCCTTCCTCCATCCCTCTTTCCTCTCTCATTTTTTCCTTTCCCTTCCTCCCTCTTTCCTCACACTTTTTCCTTCCTTCCTTCCTCCCTCCCTCCCTCCTCCCTCCCTCGCTCTGTCCTCTCTCATTTTTTCCTTCCTTCCTTCCTTCCTTCCTTCCTCCCTCGCCCCCTCCCTCCATCCCTTCCTTCCCTGTCATTTGATTGGAATGGTATAGTGTTTCTTGCTTGCAGCCAGTGGGTTGGACTAGAAGACCTCCAAGGTCCCTTCAATCCTATTATTCCATGTTCCACTCTCCATCATTCTATTCCCTCCCTCCCTCCCAAGACAATTCAAATCAGCTGCATGCAAGATAAAAGAGATTTTGGCTGATCAATGGCACGCATGGAAAAGAGTCCTGGAAACACATCGACTGCAACCCAGAGCCACCACTGTCATCTGGCTGCAGAAAAAAAGGGGCGAATGCGATTCTAGACAGCTCCAACCGAACGAAATTTTCTGAATCCGAGAGAAAATAAATCCGTTCCCTTTTATTGTGCGTTGGCCAGTTTCCCTCCGCCCCAAATACGGTGCTACATACATTCTGAGTCATGTTAAGAAGGACCCCCAGAAACCAATTGAGGCTGGGCGGGCAATTAGAAACCACCTTTTGGGCAGCAGGGGCCGGTTCCACGGAGAGAGGTTGTTCCGTGGACCGGAGGGGGACGTGGGTTTTGCATCCTGCCTGCATCCCGCGGATTTTTGGCTTGGCTTGTTTGCACAGCCCTGTTTCTGGCATGCCATGGCCTGGTGCTGGTTCGCGGGCCCCGGGAGTGGTGAAATGTAAAATTTGTTACTACCGGTTTTGTGGGCGTGGCTTGGTGGGGGTTAAAACCATTTTTTCTACATTTTTGTAAAAAAAAAATGCTTTCAAAAGCCTCTGACGATCCCAGCTGAGTTGCCTGATCGGCAGAGGCTTTTTTTTTCTTTTAAAAACATTTTTTCTCTTTGGCTGAAGAGGTTGTAAAAAAAAATGCATTTAAAAGCCTCTGACGATCCCAGCTGAGTTGCCTGATCGGCAGAGGCTTTTTTTTTTTACTTTTAAAAGCATTTTTTTGGCCGAAGAGGTTGTAGAAAAAATGCTTTTAAAAATTAAAAAAAGCCTCTGATGATTGCACGGCTCAGCTGGACATGGGGGGGTGGGGCGCAGGGATTTTTGCTACCAGTTCTCCGAACCACCCGCTGCCATCGCTACCGGATTGGGCAATCCGGTCCAAACTGGGAGCATTTCACCCCTGGGCCCAAGGGTTGGGGAACTCCACTATAAAAAGGGAAAAGAAGGAGCCGTGTGCTTAGCCAAGGGAACAGAAGCCAAGGTGAGGTCCCAGAAAGGACATCCTGCAGAATTCAGGCTGTCAGCACTTCAAGCTGCATTTACTCTAGTAAGGAGAAGCGGAGGCATCTGGAAAGGGACGCTTGACTTTTCACCTACTTATTTTCCCTGGAGATAATATCCCCTAGGAGATGGGATGGGAGGGGGGAAATTCCTTTGAGCTGGAGCAGTAGCTTAAGGGTAGAATGACTTGGAAGATGGCCAATGAGTGCAGAAGAGTGGGGAAAGGAAAGGGAGGGTTTTGGGTCAGGAAGTCAGTTGGCTATGATGGAGTCGGAGTTAGAATGTCGTGCTTAATAAATGGGGGTTTTTCGTCAAAGACTTTGTTTGAAATGCAATTTATTTGAGATGACCTCGAAACCTGACACAGGCAACAAATCACTCTTTTTTTTTTTTTATTTGATTTATATGCCGCCCTTCTCCGAAGACTCAGGGCGGCTTACAATGTGCTCAGCAATAGCCTTCATCCTTTTGTATATTTATACAAAGTCAGCTTATTGCCCCCACAATCCGGGTCCTCAATTTACCTACCTTAGAAAGGATGGAAGGCTGAGTCAACCTTGAGCCTTGGTGAGATTCGAACCCTGCAGTAATTGCAGGCAGCTGGTCTTAATAACCAGCTTAATAACAGGGTGCCTTAAACCCCTGTACTACCAAGGTACTCTGGGAAGAGTGCCTCTAGTCCTCTCCAGAATCATTGCTAAAGCCACAATGGCCCTTGCAACACACATAACAAAGCGTCAGAGTTTCCACCACAATGTTGCGGCTGACATCTTGACTTTTATTTTATTTTTTTAAAATAGTTTTTATTATGCATTTTTTCACCTTTAAAAACAACAGAAAAAAAAAAAGAAGAAAAGCAAACGATTAAAAAACAAGACAAACATAACAATATGTATTCCACCGCAGGGAAGCCCAGCCCCAATACAAAAAAATTACTGGTGTAAAATTAAAAAATGGCTGGAAGAAATTACGCAACAAAAGATAGAACTTAAACTGGAGTTGTTTTTATTAGGAACATTAGACCCGAAAATGGGGGCGGGGAATTGACTTTTTGGGGGGGACCGTGGCCTTGCAACACCCCTAGGATCCCACGCCCCAGAGAGGGAGGGCTGGGCTTCCCTGGAGGGGTGCAGGTGGGGAGACGTAGACCGTGCCAATTCTCCCATCAGCCGATTGTGCCCTCTCTCCTGCGAGCACCATGCTTTGCTAATGCACAGCTATCGTCCCTGTGAGAGGGGCCTACACTAGGCCACTATGGAAGCCTGTGCCAGCTGTGTGCTGCAGCTGCCAGAAGAGCCAATCCAATGCGGTCCTTGGAGGGTTTTTTTAGGAAAAGACGGGGCAGTCAATTGTCTGAAATGGTTTAGGGCAGGGGTGTCCAACTCAATTACATTGAGGGCCGCATCAGGGCTGTGGTTGACCTCGGAGGGGGGGGAGGAGGGGGGGAGGAGTGGCCGGCTGGATGGGTGTGGCCAATTGGGTGGGCGTGGCCAGCTTGACGCCACTCCCCAAACTCCTGGCAGGTTTTTTCTTTGCACTGGGTAGACCAGAATGGCCCCGCAGGCCTCGAGTTTGACACCCGTGGTATAGGGTCTCCTGCTTGAGTTTTTCTCCCTTTAAATTTATTTATTTATTTATTTATTTATTCAATTTATATACCGCCCTTCTCCTATTTGGACTCAGGGCGGTGCACGGCCAAGGATAAAAAACATACCAATACAAAATTTAAAATCAATTAAAAGAATTAGACAGCTATGGCCCACAGTTTAAAACAATCCAATTAAAACCCAATTTACACTTAAAAAGCTAAAACACTAAAAAGAGCTAAAAAAGGGGGAGGGGTTCACGCCAGCCCTGCTTGATGGAAAAGAAAAGTTTTGAGGGCACGGCGAAAGGCCCGGAGATCTGGTATCCTTCGTACCTCCGGGGGCAAATGGTTCCAGAGGGCAGGAGCTGCCACAGAGAAGGCTCTCCTCCTGGGGGTCGCCAGCCGACATTGTCTGACCGACAGCACCCTGAGGAGTCTCTCTCTGTGGGAGCGTACCGGCCGGTGGGAGGCTATCAGCGGCAGAAGGCAGTCCCGTAAGTACCCAGGCCCTAAGCCATGGAGCACTTTAAAGGTGGTAACCAACACCTTGAAGCGCACCCGGAAGACCACCAGGAGCCAATGCAGCTCGCGCAGGAGGGGTGTCACATGGGAGTGCCCCATCGCTCCCATAATCCCCCGCGCGGCCATTTAGGACACGGCACTTAAAAAAAAAACCACTTTAAAAACTGCCTGGGCAGATACTGGGGACAAAAGAATCAATAAACAGATTTGTGAAGACCTAGAAACAAATACAGATGTAACTAGGAGCCCGCAGGGGTTGGTCGTGCCAAACCAATCTCATTTCATCCTTTGACAAAGTGACTCAATTCGTAGACCAGCGAAACACTGTGGAGATAGCAGACTTAGACTTCAGCAAGGCATTCGACAGAGTAGACCACAACCTACTTCTCGGTAAGCTAGGAAAATGTGGGCTAGATAGCATCACCGCCAGATGGATTTCTAACTGGCTAGAAAAATGTACTTAAGAAAAGGCTGGAGGCCACCTCTCTGAAATGCTATAGTCTCCTGCTTTAACAGGGGGTTGGACTAGAAGACCTCCAAGCTCCCTTCCAGCTCTATATCTCATGTTTTTGGAGAGAGCAAAGAAGCTTCTTGGATGAGAAGCGAAACGCCTTCAAAGAAAAACCAGAACGTCCAGTTGCCCCTTGAAAAAAGCACCTTTGGGACAACCAGGACCTGGAGGACTGAGAATCTCCATAGATATTTTTGGAGAGAAGCAGGCATTTTTAGAGAAGAAAAATTTGAGTTTCTGGTGAATTTCCGGACTCTGATTTGTCTTTTTCCTTTTGGAGGGGTGAATGCACAAGCGATCGAGGGCACGGTGCGGGGATGAGGCGGCCTGCAGACAGTCCCACAGTCCCTGCCGCCTCCTTCCTGTGCCCTCCGAGGCCCCCATAAATAGCTGCTGGTTGAATCCTGGAGGACACAATGGGGTGGTTGTGGCTGACTGCCCCAGCTGATCCGCTGGCCGTGCCGCTAGCACCATTTCAGGGGCTTCTGGATTTTGACGTAGGGCAGCGCGAAGGGGAACCTGCTGCTAGGCCAGTACTCCATGGAGGGCTCGCTGCTGGGCAGGTCGTACTGGATGTCGAAGAAGAGGATGAGGGTGATGCAATGCAGGAGGGCGATGTTGATGAAGACGTGCCTGTGGGGGGAAGCCGCACGGCCTCAGTCACTTCCACCTCATCCCCTCCGCCGTCTCTGGGTCCCGCCTGGGGGTGATCTGGGGCAACTCGCCACAGCCAACTCACGACCCTCCCTCCGTCTCTCCCTCCGTCTCTCCTTCCTTCCCTCCCTCCTTCCCTCCTGCCCTCCCTCCCTCCTTCCCTCGCTCTCTCTCTCTCCCCCCTCCATCTCTCTTACCCTCCCTCTTACCAGAAACTGTGGAGGTAGCAGAAGTTGAGTCTTTGGCAGAAGCCGCAGAAAAATTTGTCCACCAGCCAGCAGCTGATGGCGATGACCCACCAGAAGGTCATGGTCCATGCTGCGCGCGAGACAGCCTGGCTGCTGCACCTGCGGAAGGGGTCAAGGCTTAGCGGTCCTTCGTCCAGCAGAACAAGGCCACGGGGTGGGGGGGAGCTTCTGATCCCAGGGAGCCTCCCCGTTGTATCCCAGCCTGCAAATATGGACCCCCCCACCTGGGTCTCGCTTTGCTAAGCGGCAGCTGGGTTGAGGCTTCCTGCAAGGGCTTTGCGACTGAACACAGGGAGTCCTCAATTTACGACCGTTCGTTTAGTGGCCGAAGTTACAAGGGCCCTGAGCAAAGCGACTCAGGGCCCAAATCTCAGCTGCCCGCCCTCTTCCCTTCGGAGGGTCAGCGGCCCCCGGGGCAGCCTGGGAGGAAACCTGCTTACCTCCGCACTTCCACGTAGGCCAGGTACAGCAGGTGGAACGCCACGCAGTTGAGGATGTAAGCGTTGAGGGCCGGCTTAACAAAGGACATCAGGGTGCTGGTCACTGTCACCGTGGCCACAAAGGTGAGGAACTGCTCCCTAAGGGAGGAAAAGACACGTTCAGGCCATTGACCCTGGAGAAGGGGGCCTCCTCTGCCTCCTTCCCCTCAACCTTCCTTCTTTCTTTCTTTCTTTCTTCCTTCCTTCCTTCCTTCCTTCCTCCTCCTCCTCTTCCTCATTTCCTTCTTCCTCCTCCACCTCTCCTCCCCATCTCTCTCCCCCTCCTCCTCTTTCCTTTTCCTCCTCTCCTCCTTCTTCCTTCCTCCTCCTCCTTCTCCCCCTCCTCTTCTTTCTTTCTTTCTTTCTTTCTTTCTTTCTTTCTTTCTTCTTTCTTTCGCATTCTCCGTCTCCTCCCCTCCTCCTCTTTTTCATTTCCTTCTTCCTCCTCCTCCCTCCTCCTCTCCTCCCCCTCAACCTTCTTTCTTTCTTTCTTCTCCTCCTCCTCCCTCTCCTCCTCTTCCTCATTTCCTTCTTTCTCCCCCTCCTCCCCATCTCTCACCTCCTCCTCCTCCTCTTTCCTTTTGCTCCTCACCTTCTTCTTCCTTCCTCCTCCTCCTCCTCTCCCTCAATCTTCTTTCTTACTTACTTTCTTTCTTTCTTCTCCTCCTCCCACTCCCCTCCTCTTTTTCATTTCATTCTTCCTCCTCTCCTCCCCCTCAATCTTCTTTCTTTCTCTTTCTTCTTTCTTTCTTTCGCCCCCTCCTCCCCTCCTCCTTCTCCTCTTTTTCATTTCCTTCTTCTTCCTCCTCTTCCTCCTGCTCCTCTTCTCCTCCCCATCTCTTTCCTCTCCTCCTCTTTCCTTTTCCTCCTCTCCTTCTTCTTCCTTCCTCCTCCTCCTCCTCTCCTCCTTCCCCTTCTCCCTCCTCCTTTCCTCTTCTGTCCTTCTTCCTTCCTCCTCCTCCTCCTCCCCCACCCCCAGGCAAGTGACTTGCTGCAGCCAGTCTGCAGGGCAACATCCCCAAAAGTTGGCAATGCCTGTAAAACACAGGCTGAATAACTCCATTTTGGCCGTCCGCTGGACTTGGAGTGCAGCCGTGGGAGTGGGCAATGCTCAGCCCCCCAACCACCACCCCCAACCTCCCTTCGTGCGTTATCCGATGCTGAGGTGGTGCAGCACATTGGAAGGAGACCCCAAACTCTGTTAGTGCGAACTTCTTTGGGGGTGTGGGGAGGGGCTAAGCTTTCTCTGCCAATCCCTCCTTTTTGTTGTGTTTGGGGTTTGTTGAACTGCTTGGCCAGCATTGCTCCCCCTTGGCTGCCTTCAGGCAAGTGGACTTCAGCTCCCAGAATTCTGCTGGCTTCTCTCCACGTTCTCGGAGGACCCAGTTCTCATTTCTCAATCTTGGCCACTTTAAGGTGAGCGGACTTCAACTCCCAGAATCCCGAGCTGAAGTCCTCACCTCTTAATGTTGCCAAGACTTGAGAAACGCTGTTCCCACCTAAACGTTTGAGAAACCTCTTTGCCCACCTCTGGCTCCAGATGTTTCCCCACCATCCAACACGTCCCGCAGAGAGAATAGAATAGAAAATTAGAATAGGATAGGATAGGATAGGATAGGATAGAATAGAATAGAATAGAATAGAAAATATGGAATGGAATGGAATGGAATGGAATGGAATGGAATGGAATGGAATGGAATAGAATAGAATAGAATAGAATAGAAAATATGGAATGGAATGGAATAGAATAGAATAGAATAGAATAGAATAGAATAGAATAGAATAGAATAGAATAGAATAGAATAGAAAATATGGAATGGAATGGAATAGAATAGAATAGAATAGAATAGAATAGAATAGAATAGAATAGAATAGAAAATATGGAATGGAATGGAATAGAATAGAATAGAATAGAATAGAATAGAATAGAATAGAATAGAATAGAAAATATGGAATGGAATGGAATGGAATGGAATGGAATAGAATAGAATAGAATAGAATAGAATAGAAAATATGGAATGGAATGGAATGGAATAGAATAGAATAGAATAGAATAGAATAGAATAGAATAGAATAGAATAGAATAGAATAAATAGAATAGAATAGAAAATATGGAATGGAATGGAATGGAATGGAATGGAATGGAATGGAATGGAATGGAATAGAATAGAATAGAATAGAAAATATGGAATGGAATGGAATGGAATAGAATAGAATAGAATAGAATAGAATAGAATAGAATAGAATAGAATAGAAAATATGGAATGGAATGGAATGGAATGGAATGGAATAGAATAGAATAGAATAGAATAGAATAGAAAATATGGAATGGAATGGAATAGAATAGAATAGAATAGAATAGAATAGAATAGAATAGAATAGAATAGAATAGAATAGAATAGAATAGAAAATATGGAATGGAATGGAATGGAATGGAATGGAATGGAATGGAATGGAATAGAATAGAATAGAATAGAATAGAAAATATGGAATGGAATGGAATGGAATGGAATGGAATAGAATAGAATAGAATAGAATAGAATAGAATAGAATAGAATAGAATAGAATAGAACAGAACAGCTGAGTTGGAAGGGACTTCAACCCCCTACTCAGGCAGGAGATCCTACATCATTTCAGACAAATAGCTGTCCAGTCTCTTCTTAAAAACTTCCGGTGTTGGAGCCACCCACAACTTCTGGTGGCAGGCAGTTCCGCTGATTAATTGTTCACACAGTCAGGAATTTTCTTCTTAGTTCTAGGTTGCTGCAATTTTGATTCCCTGCCCCCAAACTGAAGGACCCTCTTAGGCCTTGGTGCCGGCTGCCTGCCCAGTCCAATAGCTTTCGGCCTCCCTCTGCCACGCCAGCAGGCACCTTTGGGGCCCCCCTCCCCCCCCTCCGCCCCTCTGCCCTTCAGGTGGAAGGGAACAGCTGCCCGGGGGGGGGGAGGGGGCGGGGGTGAAACCTTACCTGTTTTTGATGAAGGAAGGGAAATAGCGGATTGGGAACCAGAAGCCGTAAGAGACGCAGAGAGTCCAGAGGATGGACAGTTCGTCCAGGAGCTGCCCGGCGTAACTCAGGGTCATGTGGAAATAGAAGGAGAAGACACCTGGGGAGGAAGAGGGGCGACTTAGTGGAGTAACAGAGTTGGAAGGGACCCTGGAGGTCTTCTAGTCCAACCCCCTGCTCAAACAGGCCATCTCCTCACCAGCAAAGCCTCTGGGCTGCCAATGAGGCCCATCCTGTGCGCGCTTCAGAACCCCTTAACGACCATTGGGAAAAAATGTCATCAAATCAGATCAACGGCCTGATGACCTGCTTTACGACCATCGTGACTGACGAGCGTAACTGTCAGGGTTACTCCATTACGGTCATAAGACGAGGACTGTGCTTTCTCCAAAGTGTCCTTCCTCGACGTACGACCACAATTGAGCCCCAAAGTTGTGTTGCTAAGGGAGACGGTGAAGCTTCGCTTCATTTTACGACGCTTGGCAATTGACTCATATTTATGACAGTCGCAGTGTCCCGGGTCACGTGATTTCCCCCTTTTGTGACCTTCTAGCAAGCAAAATCCATCGGGGAAGCCAGATTCGCTTAACAACCGTGTGACTCACTGAACAAAGGCAGTGATTCGCTTAACAGCGGTGTCAAGAAAGGGCCGTAAAATGGGGCAAAACTCACCTGTCTCACTTGGCAACGGAAATTTTGGACTTTACGGAGATAATATAGCCTTAAAATAAAGATGGAACTAGTCCTCTTGATGCTGAGGCTTGGGGGGTCTACCGCGCAGGGCTGATAGCAGGAGCCTTCATGGTAACCTACCAATAAACAGCTGCAAGATGACGAAACCCCGAATTGGCACCGGACGATAGCCGATATAATCGGTGTTGAGCCACAACATCATGGGGGCCAGGATGAAAAAGGCCACGTTGCTGAACTGGAGGAAGGAAGGAAGGAAGGAAGGAAGGAAGGAAGGAAGGAAGGAAGAAGGAAGGAAGGAAGGAAGGAAGGAAGGAAGGAAGAAAGAAAGAAAAAGGGAGGGAGGGAGGGAGAGGAGAGGAAGGAAGGAAAATGGAGGGAGGGAGGGAGGAAAGAAGGAAGGAAGGAAAAAAGAAAGAAAAAAGAAAGGGAGGGAGGAAGGGAGGAAGGAAAATGGAGGTAGGGAGAGAGGGGAAGGGAGGGAAGGGAGATGGAAGGAAGAAAGAAAGAAAAAGGGAGGGAGGGAGAGGAGAGGAGAGGAAGGAAGGAAAATGGAGGTAGGGAGAGAGGGGAAGGGAGGGAAGGAAGATGGAAGGAAGAAAGAAAGAAAAAGGGAGGGAGGAAGAGGAGAGGAAGGAAGGAAAATGGAGGTAGGGAGAGAGGGGAAGGGAGGGAAGGAAGATGGAAGGAAGAAAGAAAGAAAAAGGGAGGGAGAGGAGAGGAGAGGAAGGAAGGAAAATGGAGGAAGGGAGAGAGAAAGGGAGGGAAGAAGGAAGGAAGAAAAAGAAAGAAAAAAGAAAGGGGGGAGGGAGAAAGGAAGGAAAATGGAGGGAGGGAGAGGAGAGGAAGGAAGGAAAATGGAGGGAGGGAGGGAGGAAAGAAGGAAGGAAGGAAGAAAAAGAAAGAAAAAAGAAAGAGGGAGGGAGGAAGGAAAATGGAGGTAGGGAGAGAGGGGAAGGGAGGGAAGGAAGATGGAAGGAAGAAAGAAAGAAAAAGGGAGGGAGAGAGAGGAGAGGAAGGAAGGAAAATGGAGGGAGGGAGAGAGAAAGGGAGGGAAGAAGGAAGGAAGAAAAAGAAAGAAAAAAGAGGAAGGGAGGGAAAAAGGAAGGAAAATGGAGGGAGGGAGGGAGAGAGGGAGAGAGGAAAGAAGGAAGGAAGGAAGAAAAATGGAGGCAAGGAGAAAGAGAGGGGGAGGGAGGGAGGAAAATGGAGGGAAGGAGGAAAAAAGGAAGGAAGGAAGAAAGAAAAGGGAGGTGAAAGGGGGGGGGAGGAGGGAGGAAGAAAAAAGAGGAAGGAAAAGGAAAAAAGGAAAAAGGAAAGGAAAGAAAGGGAGGGAGGGAGGGAGAAGAGAAAGAGACAAAAAAATTAACAATGTTAGAAACCCACGTGGGGCAAATCTGCCAGAGGGGGCAAAGTCTTTGACCCCCGGGGAGCTATTGAGCCCACCGGGGCAGAAGGAGGGATGGGGGGCTGCAGAGAGAGTTAGGATTGCCTCTGAATTCTCCCTCATTTTTCCTATTTGTGTGTGTGTGTGTGTGTTGTGTGTGTGTGTGTTGTGTGTGTGTGTGTGTGTGTGTGTGATCTCCAAGCTTGGCAATTTTCAAACTTCTGGATTTCGATTCCCAGAATTCCTCAGTCTTACGTGGCTGGCTGGGGAATTTTGGGAATTGAAGTCCGCAAATCTTAAAGTTGCCAAGTTTGGAGAGCCCTGGTCTAAGACAGCGTTTCTCAACCTGAAGACACCTGAAGACTTGAATAGAAGAGAGCTGGAAGGGACCCTGGAGGTCTTCTAGTCCAGCCCCCTGCTCAAGCAGGAGACCCTATACTATTTCAGACCGATGGCTGTCCAGTCTCTTCTTAAAGACCTCCAATGATGGAGGCCCCACAACTTCTGGTGGCAAGAAGTTCCCCTGGCTAATTGTCCTCGCTGTTAGGCAGTTTCTCCTTCATTCCAGGTTGCTTCTCTCCTTGGCTGGTTTCCATCTGTTGCTTCTCGTCCTGCCTTCTGGTGCTTTGGAAAATAGGCCGACCCACCCTCTTCTTTGGGGGCAGCCCCTCAAATACTTGAAATCCTGCTATCATGTCCCCCCTCGTCCTTCTTTTCTCTAGAGTAGCCAAACCCAAATCTTCCAACCGTTCTTCATACGTTTTAGTCTCCAGGCCTTTCATCATCTTAGTCGCTCCTCTCTGCACTTTTTCCAAAATCTCAACGTCTGTTCAATATTATTGTTATGTTATGTTATGTTATGTTATGTGTTATGTTATGTTATGTTATGTTATGTTATGCTATGCTATGCTATGCTATGCTATGTTATGTTATGTTATGTTTTATGTTACATTACGTTACGTTACGCTACGCTACGCTACGCTACGCTACGCTACGCTACCTTACCTTACCTACCTTACCTTACCTTATCCTATCCTATCCTATCTTATCCGTTGATCTCGCTGTTGCGATCTTGTGAGAACCGGCCATGAATGGTGTGGATGGGTTTTAATGTTTTAATTTTTAAATGTGTTTATAATGGTTTTTTTTAAAATGCACTGTAAGCCGCCCTGAGTCTCCGGAGAAAGGCGGCATATAAATTGAACTAATAAAAATAATAAAATAATATCCTATCCTATCCTATCCTATCCTATCCTATCCTATCCTATCCTATCCTATCCTATCCTATCCTTACCTTACCTTACCTTATCCTATTATCCTATTATCCTATTATCCTATCCTAATCCTTACCCTTATCCTATCCTATCCTATCCTATCCTATCTTATCTTATCTTATTTTATTTGAAGAGTCAGCTTGGCATAGTGTTGCTGGCACCAGGCCAGAAACCGGAAACTGTGGGTTGAAGTCCTGCCTTGGGCACGAAGCTAGTTGGGTCACCTGTGCCTATCAAGCCTCCTCAACTCTAGAAGGGAGAAGAAGGGAGAAATGGAGGGCAAACCACTTCTGTTTTCACGGCACGGGACTCCTTCTCCTGATGAGCTGGCTATTAATAGACTAAGCCCGCAGGAATGTGTCCTGATTGGGATCTGTATTCGAAGGGTGACCCACACAGAAGGAATGGCCAGCCTCAAAATTGAGAGCAATTTCCTGACCGCAAGAAACGTGAATCTTAGGCCTCTCTCACCTGTCTCCGGAAGTCACGGTGCTCCATCAATGGGAAGTTCTCCAGAAAGGATTGGATGACTTGAGGGTTGCTGGTGCCCTGGGAGGGGGGCTCGACTAGAAGACCTCAAGGGCCCTCCCGACCTTGGATTCTACAATTCACACCCCACGCAGACTCTTAATTTCTACCCGACACCAATTTAACCGATTAACAGAGTTGGAAGGGATCTTTTGATGAAGCTCTCACAACTTCTGAAGGCAACTTCTGTTCCATCAGTTGATTATTCTCACTGTCGGAAAATTTCTCCTCATTTCCAGGTTGAATCTCTCCTTGATCAGTTTCCATCCATTGTTCCTTGTCTTCGGGTGCCTTGGAAAATAGCTTGACCCCCTTCCTCCTCTCTGTGGCAGCCCCTCAAGTATTGGAAGATGGTCTCCTGTCTCCCCTGGTCCTTCTCTTCACTAGACTAGGCAGCAGTTCCTGCAACCGTTCTTCATATGTTTTAGCCTCCAGTCCCTTCATCCTCCTGGTTGCTCTTCTCTGCACTCTTTCCAGAGTCTCAACTTCTTTTTTATAGTGTGGTGACCAAAACTGGAAACTGTATTCTAAATGTAGTCTTACTAAGGCTTTAAAGAGTGGTCTTAGTTCCTCCCTTGATCTTGATTGTATCCCTCTGTTAATGCAATTTAGGATTGCCTTGGCTTTTTTGGCTGCCGCTGCACACGGCTGGCTCCTATTTAGCTGGTTGTCCACTAAGACTCCCAGATCCCTCTCACAGTCCCTGCTATTAAGCCTGGTTTCCCCAGTCTCTATGTGTACTTTTGGTTTTTCTTGCCTAAGTGTAAGACTTGACTTGTTTCTACACTTCATTTTGTTAGGTAGGGCCCAGTGCTTGGCAGCATTTCCAGAACCTTCTGTTCCAGTTCAAGTGATCTATTTTGAAGGCTTAGCACCTGTAAGCCTACTCTATAATCAGCGAGGCATTGCAACTGAAGATGTTCTCAATCTAAAGGATGAAATCAGATTCTTGCCTCACCTTCTGCCAGGCTCAGGCTCCACCCATCCAAGACCGAGTGGCTGTGGTTTCCGACGTCCCAATATAGTCAGTTGATGCCATCGCTGACTATTGGGGGCGAATCACTGGCCCCCACGGAGAGGGCTCACAATTTGGGGGTCCTCCTGGACTCACAGCTGCCTTTAGAAGAGCACTTGACGGCTGTGGCCAGGAGGACGTTTTATCAGGTTTGCCTGATTCGCCAGTTGCGCCCCTTTCTGGATTGGGGACTCCCTACACACAGTCACTCATGCCCTTGTCACTTCCTGCCTGGACTATTGCAACGCTCTCTACATGGGGAGCACCCGGAGGCTCCAACTGGCGCAGAGTGCGGCCGCACGGGTGGTAATGGGAGCAACATGGCGTTTCCATGTAACACCCCTCCTGCGCGAGCTGCACTGGCTCCCGGTGGTCTTCCGGTGCGCTTCAAGGTTTTGGTTACCACCTTTAGAGCGCTCCATGGCTTAGGACCTGGCTACTTACGGGACCGCTTACTACCACAAACAGCCTCCCACCGCCGGTACGCTCTCATAGAGAGGGGTTCCTCCAGGTGCCATCGGCCAAACAGTGTCGACTGGCAGTCCCCAGGGGGAGGGCCTTCTCTGTGGGGGCACCCACTATCTGGAACGAGCTCCCCCCGGAGATACGGAGGATCCCGGACCTGCACACTTTCCACCGCGCTTTTAAGACCTTCCTATTCCAGCAAGCTGGCCTGGCCTAACCTTTTCCCCCCTTTTCTTTTAAATTGAAAATTTTAAATCTGTTTTTAAATTATTGGGATGTTTTAAATTTGTCTCGGGCTAAATTGTTTAATCTGGTTTTATTTTTGCTTTTAAATTTTTGTATTTATGTATTTTATTTTTGTGCCTGTTCACCGCCCTGAGTCCTTCGGGAGTAGGGTGGTATATAAATCTAATAAAATAAAATAAATAAAATAAAAATAAAAACCTAGTTACAAGATGTACTCATTGGAAACCTGCTCCGTGTCACAGTCTGGTTAACCTGAATAGATTTGACTTCTGACGGATACCACTGAATGGAAGCAAAACCGGTTTGCAAGAATGACAGAGTTAGAAGGGACCTTGGAGGTCTTCTAGTCCAGCCCCCTGCTCAAGCATTCCTGTTGTGGCCCACCAGCTACCAGTGGAGCTGGCGGCAGACTCGGACGATGAGGAGGCTGGGGAGGAACTTGGGCCAGATCTGGAGTCTGGGGAAGGCTCTGATGGATGCTCTGCGTCGGATGCAAAGATAGAGCCAGGGCCATCTGACATTTCCCATCCACCGGAGAGGCAGTTGCCTTCGGAGGCTGAGATGAGTGAGGAGGAAGAAGAGCTGGGGCCTGTTCCAGATGCACGTATGCGCAGAGCACTTAGGAGAGGTGAGCAACGGAGGACAAGGAGTCAACTTGGGAAGCAAAGCACATGTGGACACTGAATGGCCCCTCCCTGGCTGGGGAATAAGGAAAAGGAAAAGGGAGTGGTGGTCGTAGGAGACAACCGTTCGTATTGCTGGAGATTTTGCTCATGGTGTTTCGTGCCACGACGACTGCTTGCCAGAACTTAATTTGCAGCCTTTCGGCTGGGAGCTCACGGCCTGGCAATTATCGCAAGGAACTGATAAGGTCTGTTGCTGCCATTAATTCCTTGCAGGGCTCTTGCTTGGACTTTTGGGTGGGTGAGTGCAATTAATTCACAAGAGGTAAATAAGGAGGCATTTTTCGTGACCGGGAGTCCATTTCTTGCTTCTGCTAAGGCTGGGCCAGAACAATTCCAGACAAACGGTTGTCCAGTCTCTCCTTAAAAAACTTCCAGTGATGGAGCATCCACAACTTCCAGAGGCAAGCTGTTCCGCTGGTTAATTGTTCTCTCTATCAGGAAATTTCTCTTTAGTTCCAGGTTGCTTCTGTCCTTGGTTCGTTTCCCATCATTGTTTCTCGTTCTGCCTTCAGGGGCTTTGGCGAAATGGTTCAATAGGTTGCAAGGAAACGAAACTGCAGAGAAATGGTCTAGCCAATGACCATAAACCAATTATTAAGCGTATTCTTCTTCCTTGTTCCTTGCTTTAATTGCTCAGGCTTTGCTCACAGGCCGAGCTCTCATTTTCCAGCTAGCTTTGCTGATCCCATTGGGAGCCAAGCTGGGACATCAGGAAGCAGAGTTTCGACTTCTCGGTCCAGTTCTTGATTAAAGTGTATCCCAACCACCGTTTCTCAACCTCGGCCTATTAAGAGTGTGCTGGCTAGGGAGTTCTGGGATAAATACCAGATTAAGGGAATTGGAAGGGACCTTGTGGGTCATCTAGTCCAACCCCCCACCCAAGCAGGAGATCCTACACCATTTTGGGCAAATGGCAGTCCAATCTCATCTTGAAAGTCTCCAGTAATGAAGCTCCCACCACTTCCAAAGGCATCTTCTGTTCCATGGGTTGAAAATGATTCTCACGGTCAGAATATGTCTCCTTATTTCTAGGCTGAATCTCTCCTTGATTAGCTTCCACCCATTGCTTCTTGTCCTGCCATGAGGTGCTTTGGAAAACAGCTTGACCCCCTTCCTCTTCTCTGGGGCAGCCCCTCAAATATTGGAAGATGCTATCCTGTCTCCCCGGGTCCTTCTCTTCCCTAGACTAGCCAGGCCCAGTTCCTGCCACCGTTCTTCATTTATTTTTAGCCTCCAGTCCCCTCATCATCCTGGTTGCTCTTCTCTGCACTCTTTCTAGAGTCTCAACATCTTTTTTATAGTGTGGTGACCAAAACTGGGTGCAGGACTCTAGGCGTGGTCTTCCTAAGGCTTTAATTGAGGCTAAGGGAATTGAAGTCCACACATCTTAAAGTGGCCAAGGTTTAAAGGTTGAGAAATGTATGGTTGGCACAGAAAAGGAAACCCACCGCGTTCAAGTTGCCCCTTGCTGCCGAGTGAAGGCCTGATGCTGTGAAAATTCAAGATTCTAGACCTCAGGACAGGGCTGGCTTCTGATTTGACTGGGAAAATCCTGCCGGCACGTGAGGGAGAGTCAGCTGAAAGTAGCAGAGGCAACTTTTTCAGTAGCTGGGCAATCCCACATGTCCAAGGCGATGGGGTAACTCGTTTGTCCTTGAGGGAGGTGGGGGATGCTGTTGACTGATGGGTGGGCACGAATGGAGCCATATGCAGCAAGTCATCCTGACTGCTTTGAGGTCATCCCTTGGTGACCTGTGCCCACAGCCAATTAGTAGAATATTCCTAGAATCCTAGGGTGGAAGGCGCCCCAGAGGTCATCTAGTCCAACCCTTGCTCAAGGCAGGAAGAGTAGAAATTATAGAATGGAGTGGAATAGAGTGGAGTGGGAGAGGGAAGGGGAAGGGGAAGGGGAAGAGAAAGAGAAGAGAAGAGAAGAGAAGAGAAGAGGAGAAGAGAAGAGAAGAGAAGAGAAGAGAAGAGAAGAGAAGAGAAGAGAAGAGAAGAGAAGAGAAGAGAAGAGAAGAGAATATAGGAAGAGAAGGGAAGGGAAGAGAAGAGAAGAGACTAATAGAATGGAATGGAATAGAATAGAATAGAATAGAATAGAATAGAATAGAATAGAATAGAATAGAATAGAATAGAATAGAATAGAATAGAATAGAATAGTGGAATGAAGAATAGAATAGAGAATAAGGATAGCATAGCATAGCATAGCATACAATACTGGAATGAAGAATAGAATAGAGTAGAATAGAATAGAATAGAATAGAATAAGGAATAGAGTAGAATAGAATAGAGTAAAATAGAATAGAATAGAATAGAATAGAATAGAATAGAATCAGAGTTGGAAGGGTCCTTGGAGGTCTTCTAGTCCAACCCCCTGCTCAGGCAGGAAACCTTCTACCATTTCAGACAAATAGCTGTCCAATCTCTTTTTTTTTAGCATCCACAACTTCTGGAGGCAACCTCTGTTCCACTGATTAATTGTTCTCCCTGTCAGGAAGTTTCTCCTTAGTTCCAGGTTGCTTCTCTCCTTGATTAGTTTCCAGCCGTTGCTTCTTGTCCTGCCCTCAGGTCCTTTGGAGAATAGCTTGAACCCCCCCCCCATGCTTCTCTAGGGCAGCCCCTGAGCTATTGGAAGACCTTAAGGAGCCCTTCATCCCAACCCACTCTATTCCTCCTGAAAACCTCCCGTGATGGAGCATCCACCCAGCACCCTAATTTCCCCCCCCCCCCACACCAATGGCTGGGCAGGAGGAGGAGGAAGGGGGGGGAAATGGAGCATCCACCAATTCTCCCACAATAACCGGAGGAATTACCGAGTTGTAATATTCAGCAATATATTCGGAGTGTTCGAAGTTGGCTTCGCACCAGTCGACCTCGGAGCTGAGATAGGAGAAGACTTGCAACATCCTGATGCCTCCAACGATGCTGCCTTCAAGGAGAGCGCGGGAAAAAAAAAAAAAAGTCTGCGAAGGAAAGAAGAGGGAAGAAGTGAAGCAAAGTTGCCCGTCCAGCTTTTCTGGCTCCCTTTTATAGTGCTCGGCCCACGCGGCACAAGCGCTGAGCCCACATTATCGTCTGCTTTGCCGGATGCATGTCAAATTAACTATATTATTTAGATGCCTGATTAATGACTAATTCTTCGAATTCTTGATTTAATCTGCCTTTGGCAGCATCCCCACATCTGGTGGCCATGAGTTCCACAGGGTAATTATACAGATACATGCAGATTAACAGAGTTGGAAGGGATCTTGTAGGTCATCTAGTCCAACCCTCCCTTCCCAAGCAGGAGACTCTACACCATTTCTGACCGATGACAGTCCGGTCTCTTCTTGACAGCTTCCAGGGATGAAGCTCCCACAACTTCCGAAGGCAACTTCTGTTCCATGGGTTGATGGCTCTCACGGTCAGAAAAATTTCTCCTTATTTCCAGGTTGAATCTCTCCTTGATCAGTTTCCATCCATTGTTCCTTCTCCGGCCTTCAGGTGCCTTGGAAAATAGGTTGACCCCCTCTTCTTTGGGGCAGCCCCTCAAGTACTGGAATATCATGTCCCCCATAATCCTTCTTTTCATTAAACTAGGCCAGGGCTGTCAAATTAGCGTCATCACATTGTCATCATGTGATATATTGTGACTTTTCCCCCCTTCGCTAAACTGGGGGTGCGCGTGGCCAGCACATGATGCATCTGGCCCGCAGACCGAGTATGACACCCCTGGAACAAGACCTACCCAGTTCCTGCAACCGTTCCTTCATATAATTTTAGCCCTCCAGTCCCCTCATCATCCTGGTTGCTCTTCTCTGCACTTTTCCTAGAGTCTCAACATCCTTTCTTATAGTGTGGTGACCAAAACTGGATGCAGGATTCCAAGTGTGGCCTTACCAAGATATTATAAAGTGGTATTAGTAGGGGAGGGGAGGGGAGGGGAGGAGAGGAGAGGAGAGGAGAGGAAAGGAAAAGGGGAAGGAGAGAGGGAGGGAGGAAAAATGAGAGGAAGGAAAATGAAAGAGAGAGAGGAAGAGAAAGAAAGAAGAAAGAAAGAAAGAAAGAGAGAGAGAGAGAGAGAGAGAGAGAAAGAAAGAAAGAAAGAAAGAAAGAAAGAAAGAAAGAAAGAAAGAAAGAAAGAAAGAAGAAAGAAAAAAGAAGAAAGCTTAACGCATTGTAAGCCACCCTGAGTCTCCAGAGAAGGGCGGCATATAAATCAAATAAAAAAGAAAGAAAGAAAGAAAGAAAGAAAGAAAGAAAGAAAGAAAGAAAGAAAGAAAGAAAAAAGAAAGAAAAAGAGAAAGAACGTTTTTTCAACAAATACAGTTTTTAAGCAGGGAGGTAAAACATTCTCCCCGCTCTCCTAGAATGAGTTGTGGAAAAAGTTGCTGTCTTTCTGTGTGTGTTTTGTGCACACGCACACATGTGCTTCTTCCAGGATGTTTCTAGTCCTCCTCACCTCTCTCTCTCTCTCTCTCTCTCTCTCTCTCTCTCTCTCTCTCCTCTCTCTCTCTCTCTCTCTCTCTCTGACAACCTGCCTGCGGGAGGAGAGGAAACTCTCTTTTGACACCAAAATAATATTGCAAAGGCTGCTTTCCTAATAGCTCTGGCAACGGATTGCAATCGTAGCTGCAACAGCCATCTTGGCTTTTTTGAGTCGATAGCTGGGTAATTCAAGGGGGAAGGAGGTCTTCTCTCCACCACCACCCCCTCCAGGGTGGTCCAGACATGTGGGGCTGCCTGGGCAGAGGTGGGTCCTGCTTCCCTTGGGGTCTTCTTGGGGTACTTCGAGAAAGGGTCAAAGTAAGTCTGGCTGCCATCCGCCATCTCGGCTTCCCTTTGAGGGCCGGGGAAGAGATGCAAAGGGGCACGGCACCGGGATGCGACAATTTGAATGGGATAAGAAACACACACACACCTGTCCAGACACTCAGGAGGTGGTTTCAGGATGTGGTTTCTAAGGCGCAGCTTTTTTAACCTCTGGACTGCAGTGGCGTGCCACAGCTGGCTCGAATCATCAATCATCCCAGGGGTGACTAAAGCTGGGTTTGCAATACCGCACATTTAAGCCTCGCTTGTGGTTGTTATTACCTCCAGGCAAGCATTTGCAACACCACATCAACAGTAAGAGAAGAACAGAGTGTGCAGGGCTCTTGGAGGTCATCTAGCCCAACCCTCTGCTCAAGCAGGAGACGCTACAGTGAAAGGGAACTGGGAGTCTTAGTGGGCAACCAGCTAAATAGGAGTCAGCCGTATGCAGCGGCAGCTAAAAAAGCCAACGCAGTTCTAAATTGCATTAACAGGGGGATACAATCAAGATCAAGGGAGCTACTAATTCCACTCTATAAAGCCGTAGTAAGACCACACCTAGAGTCCTGCATCCAGTTTTGGTCCCCACACTATAAAAAAGATGTTGAGACTCTAGAAAAAGTGCAGAGAAGAGCAAAAAGAGGATAACTGGGAATAAAACATGCGAGGAACGGTTGCAGAAACTGGGCATGGCTGTCTAAGTGAAGAGAAGGACCAGGGGAGACAGGATAGCATCTTCCAATATTTGAGGGGCTGCCACAGAGAGGAGGAAGGGGGTCAAGCTGTTTTCCAAGGCACCCGAAGACAAGGAACAATGGATGGAAACTGATCAAGGAGAGATTCAACCTGGAAATAAGGAGAAATTTTCTGAGAGCCATCAACCAGTGGAACAGAAGTTGCCTTCAGAAGTTGTGGGAGCTTCATCACTGGAAGCCTTCAAGAAGAGACTGGGCTGCCATCTGTCAGAAATGGTGGAGGGTCTCCTGCTTGTGCAGGGGGTTGGACTAGATGACCTACAAGGTCCCTTCCAAACTGTTAAACCTGGTGCCGTTGGGGCTTTGAGGCTAATGGCCAGAAAGGAGGACTTCCTACCCGGCACAAGGAATCAAGGATTTGATGTTGGGTGGATCCTCCTTCCAGACCTTCTCCCAGGTCAAGACAGGCCTCTGTCTGCTCCCGACTGGCTTTGTTATTGCCCAGGACATTGTACCCCAGGCCTCTGGCTGGCAAAGCAAGGTCTTGGCCGAGATTCTAGTCCTCATGAACCAGACTCACGGTTTGAGACAAGAAATCAGATGCCGTCTCTAAATTTCTTCTTTGTAAATCCTGAGTAAGGTCACACCTGGAATTCTACATCAGGTTTTGGTCACCAAGTTACGAAAAAAGTGAAATGGAGGATGAGCTTGTCCATTAAATAATTGGAAACCAAGTGACGTGACTAATCACAAGTTATCTCTTATCAGCAACTATCCCTCACACTTTTATTTTTCATTCATTCCTTTCTCCTCACTGAGGCCCCATTGATCAATCTGAAAATAAACATAGACGTTTTAAGGATGTGGATATTTGTTTCCACCGTGACAGTTTGCAGGAAACTGGTTATTTGGGAAGGCAAATTTCTTTATATTTTTATATTCAGATGACAATATGTTGTCTATGATCTCAAATGATTTGCAATAAATGTTCTATTGCTTTGATATTTATAGTTCATTCCTAAAAGCTAACTTTAGAAAAAGCTTCAAACTGTCTTCATCCTAATTCCCAGAAAGGTAAACTGAGGAAAAAGGGAAGCACATTCAGACTTGCAAAGTGCTCTATTAAAAATAGCCTTAGACCCATGTGGCTTTGGGTTCCTATCCTGCTCTTAGGGCTGAAAGTTGGCCCCCCAAAATGGCAGCATTTTATTGAGGGGACCACTCATTTCACTGAGGCTCATCTTCCCTGCCCAAAAGGACTGGATGGGCAGAAACATCTGGAGACAGGCGACCCCTCAAATAACCATCAGGCCTTTTGAAGGGCTGTGTAAGTGACAACCAGCACCTTGAATTGCACCTGGAAAGCTCGCTGCCATAAAAAACGGGGAGGGTCAGTGGAGAATTTTTCATTGCAGCTTTGCAACTACAGCTTGAACTTTGCTTATCTCTCCAACGTCAGTTCTTCTAGCATTGGTATGCAGTAGCCATCTGGTTGCCTAGCTACAAGGGGTTTGGGCTGTCCAGTTTGTTTCAAGTTGCTGTTTTCACGCGCTTTGCCTCAGAGCTTGCCTGGAATTTCTTGCTTTCAATTCGTCCCGACTGGTAGCCAATGCAATTTCCAGGGCAACAAGGACACAGGGACACAGGGAGATGCGCCTGTTACTGCTCACAATGCCGCACTTTGAACCAGTGTGACCTTTCTGACTTAAACCAGTTTCATCACTCAGCTTTCCAAACTCCCCAAAATATTTTCCAGAATAAATTGGTCCCTTAAAATAACCTGCCCCAACCACTTAAGCAGTGATGGGATTCAGCCAGTTCGCTCCACTTCAGGAGAACCGGTTGTTAACTTTATAAGCAGTTTGGTAAACTGGTTGTTGGAAGAAATCATTAGGGCAGAGAACCAGTTGTTACTGTATTTTTCGGAGTATAAAATGCACCTTTTTCCCCCAAAAAAGAGGGTGAAAATCTGGGTGCGTCTTATACTCCGAATGCAGACCCTCCCAGCTTCTCAAATGGATGTTTCAGAGGTTGAAAAAAGCATCAGAAAAGGAAGCTTTAGAAAAGAAGCCTCCAGGACTTCCGGTTGAGGCGTGGATCAAGGCGACACGAGGAAGGAGAGCTCCGTATCCCGTGTCGAATTTCCAGTGTTACGGTGCCCGTTATGGGAAAAATCGGTCTTGGGTAGACCGGTAAATAGAAGGTGACTTTAGCGGAGCTGGTGAGGAGACGTGCGGTCTCCCGCCGCTCCAAGAAGAACATTAGAAAGGAAAAAAAGTACCTAATATTACATATAATCACGGCAGCTAGGTTAGCCCTAGCACAACTCTGGAAAACAGATCAATTGCCAATGGAGCAGCAAATAATTCAAAAAATTTACACATGTGCAGAAATGGATAGACTAATGTTGAAATTGAAAGATAAGGAAGACTCACAGTATTTTAAGATATGGGACAGTTGGTATGAGTGGATAAATCAATGGAAAAGAA